AATTATTGTCTAAAAACCGAACCGTTTTATAAAAATGAAACAAGTACATGTTGTTTTTTTACGTACTGTGTGAAGTGTACCTTGCAGATATTCCATAATGAAAGCGTTTAAAAGTTATATTAAATGAAAATGCTTATTATTTTTAAGTCATGTTGTTAATAAATTTTCTAAATTGACGTTAATCTCCACAAAACATTACATTTTAATTTTTAAACTATTTAAGTATGCATAATTTGTTTACATTCGTGTGAAAATGTATTAGAACAGGTTATAGATATATTACGAAATTAGACGTCATTCTATCCAAAATATAACAGATGATGTTTTCACACGTGTTGTTTCTAATTTACTCTACATAATGACAAAATTCGTACATTCTCACCCAACGATTTTTTTTTTCAATTATAATATTTTATATACAAACAAACCATCTAACCTTCCCTATATACTCTCATTTTAGCTTTAACTCTAACTCCCCAAGACTTCCAAAACCTGTATGTTCCAAAACTTTGCAAACATGTAAATACTTAAGATATATTAAATATCTTAATACACCATAGATTATTTAAATGCTTAAATAGTTCTAGTTTAAAAATACATTTATATAATAATAATACAAGCAATAGATATGTGCGTATAATATATAACATTTTAAAATACATTTTGGGGCAAAGGCGGTTAAATAAAATGCACTATTCAAAGGAAAGATAATGACGATAGTATGGATAAGTCAACAAAAGATATCTAGACTTTTTCATATTCGTTACGGTAATTATGGGACGAAATGGAGTGATAGATTCTTCACCATATTATAAATATATAATTTTCTATGTTTCTTGTTACATTTTTACACGCAAGATTTTTTTTTAAATATAGAACAAGGGTGACAAACACACAGTCCGCTGATGGTAACTGGATGCTGTGGCCCTTAGACATCTACATTCATCCTCGATTAAGGATCAAAATACAGATGCGTTGTCACCCCTGAGAACCATTGTGGAATGCCTCGTTTCCAGCAAAAAAGGTTTTAGGGTTTCTACACTTACCTTATAAACAGCTTAATTAAACTGCTATATTGGTATTTGGTACTGTCTGGTATTCTGTGAGTGCGTAGTCCTTCGCAGGTTGAGCAGACTCTTTTTTGCTACAACCATGATACAACTACATAACCTACAACCATATAATAAAGCCGCATTGTGGCTAGAAGAGCGATACACAAAAAGATTTATGAACAAAAGACTTAGATGATAGCCGCCGGATTATAGTAAAGTTAATGTGAATTTTTACAATTGACAAACGGGTAAGCAACCCGTCTGTCAAAAATCAGATTTTAACAATTTGAGCAAATTTTTTGAAAAACCACTTTAACCTTCAACTGGTGACGTACCGTCAATTTGAAGTTGCAACGCAAAAATCCTTGTATTTTTTAGAAATAGCGTGGCCCCCACGACCGCGCCTTCTAGTAGCTGCCTCGTGTGCAGTTTCGCGTCGGCCGATACACGGTACGGACGTCGCACGCGCACAGTTTAGGTTATAGAGGCTACTCAACGTCATTTTGACGTTACGTCACCTTTAGTGTTATGTTTTAGTTGTGAGCCTCAGTCGCACAATTTCATTCAAAATGAATCCAAATGATCACGATTACGAGCGGCGAGTTATTGAAGCTTTGGATCAAACTGACAGTGATATCAGTGACCAAGAGGATCGCGAGTTGGATCAAAATCATACCTTAGAATCCGACCATGACACTTCAAGTGAGATTGCCGAGTCTGGGGGTGAAGAACGACATCCAGAGACTGATAGAGAGTCCGACGATGAGCCTTTGCTCAACATATTATATTATACATGGTAGAGCCATGCTGCAGCTATATTAGTCGAATAGTTGTAGCACGAATGGGTCGGCTCGACCGGGGAAGGACCACGCTCTCACAGAATACCTGCGTAAAATAGCAGCTTAACACTGCTGTGTTTTTTATGGTGAATATAGAGAACTGGAGACCAATTTTACTGGAAAAGAGGCATTCTATCTTAGTCCTCACGGGTGACGACGCATCTGAATTTTGATTCTTTATTGAGGATATATGTAGATGTCTATGAGTCACAGCAACCACTTACCATCAGGTGGACTGTGTGCTCGTTTGTCACCCTATTCTATAAAAAAAAAATTGCGTAATCGCTGCTGTGTCGGTTTTTCAGAGAGTTTAATTTAGGTGCATTATAATGTCAGAGACGAAGTGGACAAACGATTAAATTCTCGATGAATTTAATCGTTTGTCCACTTCGTCTCTGTTCTTCTTCGTCATTGTACCAAAATGAACCCGCAATATGGAATCCAAAAAATAAATATAAAGAGAAAAACGCGGTAAAAAATAATGATTATATAAACTAATTAAATAAATACCGGCAGCTTGCAGGATGCACGATCGTGTGGGCAGCCGCGCAATGATTGGGACAATCATGGCCCATTCTGTGGTTGTACATCATGGCCGATCGTGTATAGGGCCCATTAAACTGACCTTGTTCAATTTTGGTGTATAGTTAACATACACCGAAATAGAACAAGTAAAAATAGAACAACTTCCTTTTTTTCCACCACTCTGTTATGGTCTATATTTCAATAATTGTTATTCTAATTAAAATAAATAGTAGCAGCTGCTACTCTTTCAACGTCCATCTCGGACAGATGACAATGCAAATATGTAGGATGGACGATGGATATGTGGGCAGCCGCGCAATGATTGTGACAATCATGCCCCATTCCGTGGTTGTCAATCACGGCCGATGGTGTATAGGCGGGGTATGCTTAATAGGCTGTTATTTTGACTACAATTTTATTTATATGTATAGATAAAATTATAAAATAATTTTGAGCTTATCCACACTATCAGTCATTAAGTAAATGGGCATAAGAAATTATAAATAATACTGATCGTAAATAAATTGATGATAAAATAATGCCAACATATTCAGAATGTTTGAATAAGTCTAAAATATTATTGTGCTCATACTTTTAGTAATTGGATTAGAACCATAATTTAAAATTAAAAATTTTGTACAGCCGACTTCAATATAAATTATTAAGAATAACTCAAAACCTATTGGTCACCAGCCGGGCTATTCACAATCGTCTCGGAAAGCGAAATAAGAAAAAAAAAATAAGGCAATATTTTGGTGTTAGCCATTGATATCGAATATAAAAAATATATAATTTAACTATATAATAAATAACAAAAAAACTGAGGTAATATGTCTCGTTTCTGTCGGGTCTGGGTTTTTTTCTATGGAGCGTGACCGTACTTCTTTGACGTTTGTTTTCGATAATTGTGACAGTTTGCATCGGAAACTTCACGAGAGCTCTGAGGCTGGCGAAAACTTGAATATTGATGATTAGAAGAGATAAATAAACCCTTTTAATTATAAGGTAGGTAACAAAAATTAATTACAATTATCTATAGGACGTATTTTCATATAACATACATAGACATATCTCAGTTTTTTTTGTTATTTATTATATAGTTAAATTATATATTTTTTATATTCGATATCAATGGTTAACACCAAAATATTGCCTTATTTTTTTGTTCAGGCGTTACACTAAAAAAAAATACAAAATGCCTATTTATCTACAAAATTCGTAAATGCATGTAACTAAATGACGATACAATAGTTATGGGATGTATCTAAGTGACCTTTATCCGAACCTTAAATGTGAATAGCGTTTATTGGTTTCGGTGCGAGAAGTTATCGAATCCGAGTCGATTTCGCTTTCCGAGACGATTGTGAATAGCCCGGCAGCTGTCAAATAAAAAAAGAATGATCGAAATCGATTCACCCAGTAAAAAGTTATGAGGTAACACACATAAAAAAAAACATACAGTTGAATTGAGTACCGTCTCCTTTTTGAAGTCGGTAGATAAAACAAATTGGGTTCGTTCCGCAGGTCACAGATCTGACAGGTCATGAATCAAACTGATTCAAGTTCCGTATTGCCTTTGGCTATCGGCTGAGAGTATCCTCCGAGCTTCCAGACATTCGTCTTCCATTTCCCTCATCGACCTCCAGATGAGTGCCATTACAGTTTCCGTTCACGACCTTCGGCGCTGGCCTCTTCTTGTACATAATATCCCATATATGGTGCACGATTAAGTCAATAGCCACTGCAACAACGAGAAATGGACTTTAACGCGTTTGAATTACGATTCGGATTAGCAGCTACATAAGAGCATAGCCGCTGCAACAAGTTCCTTTATAATGGGTGAGTTTAAAGGTAATATTTTGTCTAATTGCAGTGGCTATGACCTTTATTACTTACCTAGTAAGGTTCTAGTTAAATATTTTGCAAAATAAATATTCTTTGAAGAGACTTCTTTTAAGATAAGTTAAGTATGCTGTTTTTATTGAGAGTTTTACTCTACATAATGCATGAAGAATTCGCATTCACAGAATATGTAGACAAAATGTTATAAGTAATAGTTGTCCAAACAAAAACATATTTTCGGTCGAGGTAACTGATCAATCGTATTCATCGAAATGCTTTTGATGCAATTTCATTTTACGGTGGGTTATTGCTATAATCGAAATCCACGAGCTGAATAAAAGTTTATTTTTCTTTGGCGTTAAGCCCGTACGGTTGTACTTTTGCCAGTGTTGGATAAAAGTTGTATAACTTTTTAGATTATACTCCACAGTAAATAGACGCAACCTGCCTTTGCAATGCCTGATTCGAATACAACCAAACCTCTGCTAAGTAAAAAGATCAGCTTTATCTATGTGCGCAATGTCTTGACAAGTCCACATAAATTCTCATTTGAAAGAAAGAAAGAATTGAAAGGTCCGCTCAATTAATCTCTCAAAAAAATTAGCGAAGATTTAGAAGCAGTGCTCAGTGCCGATTCCGGTCCTATGCTGCTATAAAAGACTAACTACAAAAGTCTTTTCTTAGTTTAAAATCGCTCAATTCGTCGATGGATTACATGAAAAAATATTAAAGGAAATCTTACCAAAGTTGTCCGCACCCCTCGGTATGATGACATCAGCGAATTTCTTAGTCTGAAATAAAAGGCAACAAATTAATTTATAGATATCGAATAAAACCCTATCATTTAAAATACAATATTTATCTATGATATTATATTATTCAAAGAGTAAAAAGGTTATCTTACTGGCAAGCAGAATTCCTCAAAGGCAGGCTTCACGAAGTTCATATACTGGTTGAGCACTTGTTCGAGGTCGCGTCCACGTTCCATGATGTCTCGAGGCACTGGAAATTGAAAGTGGTTATTTCTTCCTTTTAGATTTCTAGTAGGGTTGGGTTCAGTGGTGGCAGTTATATTGCATGCAATTAAGGGAGGGAGGAAAGTGATGTTCAAACTAGATAAGAAGAGAAACCATTACATTTTCATAGTTATTTAATTATAACATTTTAATTTAAATTAAATAAGTGTTTAGGCATAGTAACAAAAAAAAAACGAAAGTAATTTAAGAAGCCAGATTTTACAGACATATTGTTTTGAGTAATAAAATAAATTACAAGGGTATGTTTCTTCGTTTCCTTTATGGCTTTTTCTGCCGACTTCCAAAAAGGAGACGGTACTCAATTCAACTGTATGTTTTTTTATGTGTGTTACCTCATAACTTTATACTGGATGAACCGATTTCGATGATTCTTTTTTTATTTGAAAGCTGGTACTTCTCGTGTAGTCCCATATGAATTTGATCAAGGTCAGACCAATAGTTTTTGAGTTATTCTTTAACTTATATTGAAGTCGGCAGTACAAAATTTTTAATTTAAAATTATTGATGCATTCACCAATGTCTAATAATAAATATTAAAAATATTATATAAACTGCATCAATTGACATATCCTTAAACAGACTGATATAAAATGAGCAAAATTGTTTTACTTATATTGAAGCATATAAATTTCATTTTAACAAAATCTATTACAGCCTTTCACAAGTCCACTGCTGAACATAGGCCTCCCCCAAGGAAAGCCACAAAACACGGTCCTTAGCCACCTGCATCCATCGACTTACTGCATGTCTTACCAGGTCGTCACTCCATCTAGTGGGGGGTCGCCCTACACTTCGCCTACCGGTACGAGGCTGCCACTCGAGAACTTTTCTTCCCCATCGGTTGTCGGTTCTTCGAGCTATATGGCCGGCCCACTACCACTTCAGCGTACTAATCCGTTGGGCTATGTCGGTTACTCTGGTTCTACTGCAGATATCCTCATTTCTAAGTTTATCACGCAGAGAAACCCCGAGCATAGCCCTCTCCATAGTTCGCTGTAGCGACCTTGAGCTTCCTCATACGGTCAGCAGTGAAGAACCACGTCTCAGATCCGTAAGTCATCACTGGCAACACGCACTGGTTGTACAATTTCGTTTTCAGGTATACCTGACGAGAAGATGTGTCGTAGTTTCCCGAACGCTGCCCAGCCGAGTTGAATCCGTCGATTGACCTCTTGGTCGAAGTTGGACTTACCTAGTCGGACTATTTCTCCCAGGTAAACATACTCGTCAACTACTGCGAGCCTAGTGCTCCCAACAACTGCCAGGATTAGGTGTGACATGGACATTAAACATGATTTTTGTTTTGTCCATGTTCATCTTAAAACCTATTCATTGGGAGACACTATTAATGCCATTCAACAAAGGAATTCTACAATTTGTGCTTATAGCAAAACACTAAGTTATTATTCATTCATATGCATCAATCACTAATAAGAAACTAGGTACACAATCAGTGACAAAAAAAGTCCTTACCGAATGAGCGCCCACTCGAACATTTGGGTGCGCTTTGTGTTATGTAAACTAGTATGTAGCTTTGTGAAAACAAATTTAGGAAATGCACTTAAAGTTGAATTTACATAAATGTATATTTATTTCAACTACAAATACGTCAAAACAATTGGCGACAGTTTTTAGAGAAATTTTGCATGGAATTGTGTATCTAGTTTTTTATTAGTGATCGATAACTATATGACAAAAAGTCCTCAACCGAGATGAACTGATCCAATAACTAAATAAGTGAGGTGTATTGCTACAGACTATTTTTCACATAGTCTCTGGAAATTCATATATCCAATAGTGAATTTAAAACACTGTAATGAGGACAAAGTTTAAATTGTGAATGACTGCATTGAAATGAAAACTGCACTCACCTCGCCTGGCTAGCCGCGTGTCCGAGTCTGTGTCGACGAACAGCTTCATGTGGAAGAGGTCCCGCACTTCGGGAAAATAGAATACGAGTATACCCTCAATTAGCACCACGTCTGCAGGGTAGATTGTATGCGAGCGGTGTGGACTGTTAAAAAAATTATACAGATTATAACAAAAATACATAGGATTTGATTTTGAACAATGACATCAGAAAGAACTACATTTCAATTTTTAATAGAGAAATTAAGAGACCATCTAATGCTGTCAGCTGTAAGACAACGCATATGTAACTATCATCATTCCTTCCCACAGTTCACAAAGGGGATATTTGACACACTTGGCAACTGCAGTTTTTTTTTATTCCTAGTTGCTATTAGTATGACTCTGCTGTTAATCTTTTTTTTTATAAAATAAGGGTGATAAACGGGCACATAGTCCACTTGATGGTAAGTGAATGCTGTGACCCATAGACATCTACATCTATCCTTGATTAAAAATCAAAATGCAGATATGTTGTCACCTCTGAGGGCTAAGATGGAATGCCTTGTTTCCAGTAAAAAGGGTCTTCGGTTTTCTGCACTCACCATTCGAAACACAGTAGCACTAAGCTGCTATTTTACGATGGTATTCTGTGATAGCGTGGTCCTGCCCTGGTCGAGCGGACTCATTCGTGCTACAACTATAATATAGCTGCAACAAGACTCTACCAGATAAAAATCTACTGGTTTGTCTCCCTTATGTGCAACTTACGACATCCACGGGACATAGTGTATACTTGACGCACATACACATCAAAATGTTGGATACACAGGGATACACACACATCCAAATGTTGATAATTTGTTTGAATGTATACAATAATTTAATAATTATTAATCTTCAGTCTATAATGAAATTGTTGAAGAAGAGCGGAACTTCTTATCACAAGCAAAGCATATGCTTTAATGAATGCTCCAACCACAATATAAAAAAACATAAACATAAACACTCACGCCTGTCACCCAGAGGGGTAGGCAGAGATTATGGACTTCCATTTGGCACGATCCTGACACACCTCTCTCGCTTCCTCCACATCCATATACCTACGCATACACGCTCGTCGGTGAAAGGTACTCTTGATTTGGCCCATTTTTAATATATCGCCAATTTGGTCGATAAACTTTCGCCTAGGGTGACCCTTCCTGACTATGCCGTTCACCTCTGCAACATAAATTTGATTTGTCACTCTTTCCTCATTCATTCTTTCTACATGGCCAAACCACCGAAGCATTCCTTTCTTAATCCTGGTCACATCATCTTGCAAACCACACTCTTCTCTTATTAAACAATTTCTCACTCTGTCATTCAGATTCATCCCTAACATACTCCTTAATGACCGCATTTCTACAGCATTTACTCTACTCTTGTGCTTCTTCTGCCACACCCAACCACAATATATTGTATTAATAACTTAAATTTAAAAAAAACCCCGGAATGTACCCTACCGTAGCTAACATATCGAAGAACCACCGCTAAAAAACCGGCTTTCAAAGAAAAAAACCACACCCAAATCTGTTAGGCCATTTAACAGCTACGGTCCTACCGACAGACAGACACCCCCCCCCCACACACACATAGCGGTCAAAGTAATAACACCCCTTTTTTGCATCAGGGGATGAAAACCAGACTAAGTTATGAAATAAGAACTTTGAATTTTTGAACTGTATGGCATATTTACCACTCTTGAACTGTTACTGCTGCAATAAGGAAGGGTACACACACATGCGTCACATTGTAGGACTATAACTACAGGCTGAGGGTCAGTCAGAGTATTAGTCTTCAAAGTTGATGACGCACCTGTAGCCTTCACCGTTTGATGTGGTTGCAGGTGTCCACGGGTGCAGCCCACTTACTTACTATTAGCCACCTACTATCAGGTGAACTGTAAATTCGTTTGTAACTTCAGATTAATAAAAAAGAAATCTATTTTTATTTAAATGAAAATGTCCAAATTTTAGTATCACCTATTAAAATTCGGACTGATTATGACAGCTAATGCTGAAGATGGGCCTTGACCAATGTATTCATGCTGTCATCAGCATGCTTAGTAGAAGGATTGGATATTTGGAGTACTAGACATCTTGCACCTTTAAAGTGGCTCTTCATTACATTCATTTATATGTTATAATACTAGCTTATATGAAATATTTAAGGCATAAGATCTAGCAATCCTTAAAACAATCACTTACGCCACGCAAAGGATGTAATCATTTCAAAAATGAAAAAGATTTTTTAATAAATCAAAATCTAATGTGTAACTCACCTAATAGAATTTGTTATATAATCGTACTCAGGAACCTCAACCTTCTTTCCAGCAAGAATATCTTTCAAAACGGCGAGCAATTTTTTGTCATCAAAAGCATCCGGGTGGTCAAAGTTGAATTGACCACGCTCAGCCCTGAGCCGCTCCGATGACGTGAGCGTGCGATAAAAGGAGTCTTGACTGATGCAGACCACTCGGCGTTCAGTCTGTTCTTTATGCTGCTGTCCCAACTTTTCCATGATGCGCTGGCATACTGTAGACTGTAAAATACGTAGCATCCTTTAAGCTTTAATCCAGGGACGTAGCTACCGCCGTATCAGCTGTATCAATGATACGGGGCTCCCGGGCTACAGAGGTCCAGAACTTATGTAAGCAAAAATTCTAAGGACTTCTATGGAATTGTTTGGCTTCTATTTGAATTGTTTGGCTAGCTTAGATCCTAGGGGTATTAATTGCAAGTAATAACTTATAATCAATATATAATTATTTTAATACAATGCGAGAGTTTTTGTTCCTTTTGTGAAAAATATTTACCCTTCATTTGGCCCCCCTGACAAATTTTGATACAGGGCCCCTATAAGGCACGCTGCTCCACTGGTTTAATCACACTACTACCAAGCATCAGCCTCTGGTGTCTGAGAGAGTAATGTAACAGAGAAGTCTGTCATCCTGTTCTACACTATCAAATTTGAAATGTTTTCTGATTAAATGAAACAGATATGACATCTTTATTTCAGACTGGTGGCCCCTGCTAATTTTAGGTCTACTATTGTCCCACCATTGGTAAAAAAAAATAAAAAACCAATTGTAATCAAATTATGTTAAGTTTTTTAATATAATTAAATTGCTTCACAACAAGTAAAATTAAAAATTTTGTACAACCGACTTCAATATAAATAAAATGAGAACATCATCAATGTAGTCGAAGTCAATTAAATACGCATTATTATGGATAACTCAAAAACTACTAGTAAGATGAAAATAAAAATCTGTTCACCTAGAAAAATGTTCTGAGGTAACACATAAAAGAAATACAGTCGAATTGAGAATCTCCTCCTATTGTTTGATGTCGGTTGAAAATCAATTTGGTGGTACTAGGGGCCACTTGACTTGACAACTGACACTTGACAACTGACGCCGGTATTGAGCAAATTTATTATATTTTCTATGCATAGGAGAAAACTCAGAGGTTAATAATAAAAGGCAGTAATTTTTTTCAGTTGTTACTATCTACAATGGGTGTTCCTCGGGGCTTAATTATGGACCTTTTCCAGTTCTTAGTCTATATTAATGATTTTTTTGATGAAACAGAATGTATTATATTTACAACACCAAATATTAAACAGGTGAATACTAGTATGCTTTTAAAATATAGAGGAGCTGAGTCTTTTTTAAATCCACAGTTTTCTCTATACTGATTTATATGACTGAAACCAGTCTAATAGGGAACCTGCATCTACTGAAATGCAAATGCATGTACAGCACACACAGTGTGAATTTCTAGCTAGATTTTGTTACAGGAATATTGCATTTCATGTAGTTTTAACAAAGGCAGGTCAAAAGTTTACGGAATGGAGGGGTTAGAGGGGACAGGGATTTCTTTTTTTCTGTCATTACTTAGTGACTCAATGCAACTATTAATACCAAGTTTCAGTCAGATTGGTTCATTAACCTTTGAGATGTCGCAAGATAAACAAGTCAATCGGGAAGTGAACACTAATTATGGAGATAATTGAGTTTCTTGTCATGATTAAGTTACTCACTGAATTGTAACTGGGGATGAAACTTGGGTTGATCACTACAAACCTGAGTTAAAGCAGGAGTCCATGCAGAGACGTAAAAAAGGCGCAGTACCACCTAAGAAGTTCAAGATGTCACAATACACTGGAATAATTATGGCTTCAGTTTTTTGGGATTAGAGGGGATTTCATTGATTAATTATAAGGATAACGCTATCAATATCATAGAATGGTATTATGCTACATTGCTAGAAAAATTAAAAGATGCCATTAGAAGAAAAAAGAAGAGGAGTGGTCTTGAGGTGTGGTCCTTTTGCATGACAATATGCCATTCTCCAGTCGTGCAAGACTAACATAGCTGCAGCATGGCTTCTTTACACAACCACCCTCCCTATAGGCCAGATTTGGCCCCTTCGCATTATTATTTGTTCCCAAATATGGAGAAAGAGGTTCAGGCAAAGAAATTTATAGACAACGAAGTAGTAAAGTCAGCAATTTATGCCTATTTTGAGAGCCTTTACAAAACATTTTTTTAAGGTATAAATAAGTTATTTGAACTCTCTGAGAAGTGTATTAGGAATAATGGAGAATATATCGAAAAGGAAAAATAATTACATGTTTAATTTCAATCCCTTTCTCATTAATTCCACAAAGTTTTTGCCCTCCTCTTGTATATTTATTTTAAAAGCACACCAATCACATGCTGTGCTTGTTAACTGTGCAAAGGGATATTGTTTTATAATCCACCACTAGGTACTTAATATAAAAATAATATTAAAATCCTAAACAAACCCAATGAAAATACTTTTAAGAAACAATGTTGAAAATGACGATGACTAAAGATAATGTAGACATTATACATTACGTTTTTTCATCCTTACACAACCAGTTTAAAACATCTTACTAGCTCAATTTTAAAAGTGTGTAATATCATAAATGGACATGTTACCATCTAGTCATTTTGACTAATGATGTTTAGTATGTATACTTATTAATCAATCAATACATATCAAAACAAAGTCCCCATAATCAGGGCCGGATTAACCATGTTGGGGCCCTTAGGCAATGGAATTCTCGGAGCCCCATTATCTTCTCAGGAACTTATAGTAAAAGATTTGTATTTGGACTTAATGAAATTGTCTTAATGAATAGGTTATAGATAAGTGATGATCCAGATCTCATTAGGTAAAGTATGTATATGAGATAAGATTGTCTCATTATGGAGCAAGAAAGAAAAATAAGACGGGGGTGTTTTATTTTTAATTTTATTCTTGATAAATGCAATAAAATATAATAAACGAAAGAAAATAGTTTTATTCTACTACTTGATACTAGATGGTTCTGTTCTGTAAGTATGAAGTATTTCATCAACTGACAGTATGCATTGCTAAAACGTAATAATACCTATTGTCTCTGAGGTTACAAATTTTCCAATAAAATTTTCTCTGTATGAAACATTTTCCATTATATTTGTGCACGCATGGGGGCCCTACCCCATGCGGGGCCCCTAGGCAGTTGCCTACTCTGCCTAATGGTTAATCCGGCCCTGCCCACAATGCTTTTGCCTGTCTGGCCACTATTTTCTCCAGAACTTAAAGTTAAGGTTGCAGCCTATAAACATCCCACTGCTGGGCACAGGCCTCCCCTCATTTCTGAGAGGGTTTTAAGTCAAAGAAATGTCCGCTGCACTGCCCCAATACATGTTAACAAACTTTACATGTCTTCCTAATATTTTTTTATTTCTCAGAAATGCAGGTTTCCTCATGATGTTTATGTTCCTTCACTACAGAACATGTGGTAAATCAGCATTTAAAAATTGGTCTTAACAATTTAATTAGTGCTGGCATGGACTGAACCAAGGTTGCTTGTGTACTACTGTGAAATTTACAGCTAGTTAGCCCATGAGCTACCACGGCTCCAGAACTACTCAAAGAATTTCACATTTATCATGGTTTATAGATCTGGTTGTACTTACAGCTTTCATTTATTTCATTTTTTATATATATGCACTATTTTTACCTATACCAATGAAAAGTACTAGCAATTGCTTTTAATGAGCTTTTAGGTTATTGTGAGAGTTATCTCTTTATTGTTAATTTATAGATTTGTATTAGATGCAGTAAAACTAATACCATTACTGTAATAAAGAAGGGCTTTAAATTAATTACCCCTTATATTAAAATGGGAGTGGGAGGGAGGAGCGGTAGCCTCTGCAACACTCCCACAGTTGTTTGTAAATACATATTATGTTTCTTATTTTTTTTTAATTTTCATTAATTGAATAAGTGGCAATTTAAAGCATTTTCGTACAATTTTCATTTAAATAGAAGGGGGAGAGTGGAGCATCCTTTATCATATAACCCTATATGCATAATTTGTGCAATAATGCATAAAAGCACTGGAATTTTATATACATAAGTTAATAAAGTAGATCTTTCGAACAGTAGTCATTTGAAAGTTTTAACTTTGGATAGTTCATCTTTAGTTGAGACATTTTAAGAAACAACTCGACATTCGTTTCGTTACTAAGGGTATGATACAATTTGTGGTGGACCCATTCCATATACAAAAAGAAAGTGAATCCATTGTTTAGCTTATTAACTATGCTCCTTTTGAGTATCAATTTAAGCGTTGTTTGTTGAATTTGAAAGTTTTTAATAGGAACAATGAAAGTTTTGATTTGAGAAATGATTGACAAGCATTATGGTTAGGACACTTTTTTCAAATATTTTGGTTATACTTAAGGGGGCTATCATTAAAGCACTTTCATATCTCGTAATCTGAGATACTATTACTCTTGAATTAAGAAAATCGATACCTAGATATATTATTTTAAGAAAATAATAGACTAGACTAACCTTCCCACTTGCTGTACCACCAGCTACACCAATAAGAAATGGAGTCTTGCTCTCAAAACCATTAGCAGCAAGATAATTTGCTGGTTTTTCGGTCATTTTATGAGTAAAAATACACCTTACAGGAACTTTTTCCACTAATGTAGCAAAACCGACACTCAAACCACGACTCCGCAGTAAAAACGATGACATAATAATGACATTAATGACAATGACATTACAGTGACCAGTGTTGCCAATCTGTTCGAGTAGCTTCCCACCAGATCCAAATTCTAAAACTAAACGTAGTGATTATATTCTCTTTGTCTAAAACCACCAATCTCTCGAAAATTTTCCACTACACAAATATTTTTGTTAGATTTCAAACAAAACATAAACAATAAAATATTTATCAAATCACCTTTTTTCGGTACTTTACTCTCATTACTAAAATTATTAAGTTTAGTCGCTTTTATTTATTCAACTTTCAGTCCATATTAAATCACGAAATTCAAAGAGTATAAGTATAAATAGAATATATTTTTAAATTCTTCAGAAAAATTATTTTCTTTGGTATAATATTTTTTAGATACGCAGTAAAGCTTAAACAAGCAAAAATTCCCATTTTAGTACACAAACTACACCTTCGCTTACATTACAAGTGGTTTACGATATTATGTTAATATTATAAGTTGCTTTTCCACTAAACTTTTTTTTATAGTATAAGGGTGACAAACGAGTACACAGTCCACCTGATGGTAAGTGATTACTGTGGCCCATTGACATCTACATCTACTTTCGATTACAAATTAAAATGCAGTTTCGTTATTACCCGTGAGGCTTAAGATGGAATGCCTCGTTTCCAGTAAAAAGGATTTCCGGTTCTCTACACTCACCAGACAAAACACAGCAGCATTAAGCTGCTATTGTACACTGGTATTTTGTGAGAGCGTAGTCCTTTCCAGGTCGATTCGTCCTACAACTATACTACTAATCACAGACTAATATGATGCATACATCTTCTAATATAGCTGCAGCATAGCTTTACCACTTACCACGTTCTTTACTAAGACTATGAATTTATTTTGTAATAAAATGTCGGGTCACATAAATCACTAAATAAAACCATTAGCCACTAGACGCAATATTTTCCCACGACACAGAGATCGCACCACCAGATTTAATGGTGAAATTACTAAGTTGACAACATAGACATTGACTTCTCACTCGTCAACGTGAAATCTTCTCAAATCCATATCCCTATCTTTGGTCAAATCTACTCAAAGACGTTTAAGTGTATATTTAAGTCTCTTTGAATCTACTAAACAGGCCCGTCACCGTCAAATTCTATCAAATTCAAGTAATATAAACTATTTTTGGATTTTCTATATTATAATAAATATCTACTAAAACATTAGCCACATTTTATAAGGAGTAATTCTTTTTCAATTTATTATTAACGTGATTCTAATAGAATAGAATAGAATAGAATGATTTTTATTCAATATGGATTATTACATAATACTCATTGAAAGTCATTATTTTATTTACCACTGGTTCGGAAAATACCTCTGTCCTGGCAAGAACCAGCAAGAAACCCAGCGGGACTTTTTTTTTAAACATAATTTCACTTAACAATAATTTTGTTTATACAATTTTAAATGAATTTTCATAGAACCAGCATGGTGGCGATCACCTTATTCCCAGGGGTTATTTTCATTCATGTATTCCTTGATATTATAATAACCCTTTTTGTACAGTTTTTCTTTAATAAAACTTTTAAACTTGTTTATTGACAGACTTTGAACATGTTCTGGGATTCTGTTGTAAAAGCGTATACATTGCCCCATAAATTAATTACTAATTCTGTAGAGTCTAGTAAGTGGCATTACAAGCTTATGTTTGTTCCTAGTGTTTAAGGTATGAACATCCTTATTCTTATTAAAGCTATTTATGTTTTTATGTACATACATTACATTTTCATAAATATATTGCGATGCCAAAGTTAATATGTTTATTTTTTTAAATTTTTCTCTAAGGGACTCTTTACAATTTAGATTATAAATCGCCCGTACGGCTCTCTTTTGCAAAACAAATATAGCTTCAATATCAGTCGCATTACCCCATAGCAAAATTCCATAAGACATTACGCTATGAAAGTAACTAAAATACACTAACCTAGCTGTCTCAACATCTGTGAGACTTCTAATCTTTCTTACAGCATATGCTGCAGAACTAAGTCTGTTTGCTAATTTAGATATATGGGGGCCCCATTGAAGTTTCGCGTCAATAGTAATTCCGAGAAAAACAGTGGTATCCACAAGACTCAACTCCTCCCCATTTAAAAGCACATTGGTTTTCGAATGTTTTACATTAGTTATTGTAAATTTAATACATTTTGTCTTATTGCCGTTTAAGAGCAAATTGTTGGCGTTAAACCAATGTACTAGTTTCGATAGAGCATTATTTACATCGTCATATTTAATTGACTGCCGTTTATGCCGAAGGTAAGGTAATAAAATATATATATAATATATATAGTAAAAAAAAGGTGAAATAATAAAAATTGTATCACATTTTTATTAGCATCACGTTAATAATAAATTATTGAATATTAAAACTTGCCAATCAATATCTTTATATATAAAAATTACGTGTCACGTTGTTTGTCCGCGATGAACTCCCAAAGTACTGAACTGATTTCAATGAAATTTTGCACACTCTGTGCAGTTTGGTCCAACTTGAGAGATAGGATAGTTTTTATCCTGATAAGTGACACTGAATATTTTTTATTACGAATTTAAGGATTTTTTTATATGAAGAGCCGTCGAAAAGGGCTGAACAACATCTGCCTGACCAGCTAGTATAACATATAATAATATATGATTGCCACTAAATTAAATATGAACGAACCTAACAAATTTTCTTTTAAATTAATTGAAGAATGTTATATATTGTTGTTCGCGCCAAACGCTAATTTCAAGAATCGACGCCAGGGGGCGCGCAGCGCGGCGTTTTCCTATCGGTTGACGTTCGCGCGAGATCGGATTGGTTGCTAGCGGGGCGGGTCGGAAGTGATTGAATGCAGTGCAGTCTCTAGCACGGCGTGAGGTCGTCCCGTATAACCTCTAATTATTGTCGGTTTTGTTAGCAAATTTATGCAACGACGAGGAGTTTGTGAAGTCTAGAAAAATAGACGCCGGGTCGATTAATTGTTTGGAAGTTAATGTTTAATTGTACCGTCGCGTTAAGTGCCTTTTGTGTGTTGTCTATGTAGTTAGTCTGCGTGTCAGCTAGGCTGATTTTGAATCTTAATGCGGGCGTAGTATTTAATATCGTACGAAGGAATTTAGTTTGTCGGTTGTAACGCTGAACTTTGTGACTCGAGAAGAGATCGCGTTCTTGTTCGTGGTTATAATCTTGTTGCTACGTGAAACGGAAGTGAACTTTGACCCACCGCTTATTAGTCGTGCCGTGTGTTACTTTTTTGATTACGATTAACGGGGATTTAGTTGAGTTTGAAGTTAATTAAATGCACAATAAAGTTGATAAACTGAAATAGTGAAGTGACGTCAGACTTGAGGTCGGATAAAGTGAACTACCACCTTTGGAGAGAAGCAACGCTGGATCTGCGGTCCAACTTCAGCGGTCAAGTCAGCTCAAACATTATACACCCTACTATACACTACTACATGCTCCTACACCTACCTACGGCCTGACCGAGCCTTGGGGCGGTCTTAGCTTCGGAACCAGGTACGTACTATTTATTTATCTAGCCTTATCTCTATTGTGTAGGTCAATTGTCCATAGGCATTTTGAGCCCCACCCTTAGTTGTCCGTCGAATCTACAGCTGTATGGGCCCCTGTATGGTCGACCTTTGTCGGGGCAGCGAGAGGCGTGTACAATTGTTATAGTTATGAATTATGATTTAACTAACTGCTATGCAGTTTGCACCCGTTTATTTTTCTAGTCAGCACAAAACAATGTTACTCTATACTCTATACAGAACTAGTCATTATACTGCCTCAGTATAATCCTTCGACAAAATCACTATACTTATTTTAGAAAACGTCGATCTAAAGCCGCGTCTCCACCAAAGTATTGTTGCCAACACGTGTTGCCAACAAATGTTTCTGTCAACAAACGTCTCCACCGAGGGAACAAATGTTGGCAACAAGCGTATTCCTTTGATGTTGCCTCCGAAAATGGAAACAAGTTTTGTTGGCAACTGTTGTGTTTACAAGTAAACTTTGGTGGAGACGCGGCTTAAAAGTATACACATACATAAAAGTATTATTACAATCATTACGTTTACCCCGATCGTCAGTACAGTACAGATACTTGACAGTTTTTCACATTTTGTATTTGGGCATTTGGGCCTACCTATGAAAATTGTCTGCAAAATGATCGGACTACGTAAATCTAGCTTTGATAAAAAGAGGTCAGTCAACGATTATCGGAAACCTATCAATTTCCTTCCCGTCCAGGATTCCTAAAATTTTTAACTGTACAACAAGTACGTGTTGCCAATGATAATTTTTATACCCTATTGAACTGAGACCATTGACCTTCATATATACTCAAATAAGTAAAGAAACTGTAGGTTTCCAGTTTCTTTACTCATGTGCTAGTAGTACGCTGGACTCATTAACCTCTAATATACAAGTACGCTGAACTGGCTATATACAAAATATACACAGTGACATAATGAGGTTGACAGTGACACACTGAATGATTTTCGCCAGTTTGGTGCAGACAGCAGAAGAGAGCGTCCACGGAACCAATAATAATAGACATCGAGGCCTGGCATTCTATTTATGTATCAGCATTAGGGGACTCAGCTCCATCACGCGCAACAATTTTTAGGTGGTTTTCTGAATTCAAAAGGGGTAAAATTAATTTAAAGATGACCAAAGAACCTTGGCCCCGCAAACAGCAGTAACGGCAGAAAATGTATGGACTACTGAAATGTTGGTGCGAGAAGACCTACAAATCACATATACGGTCATCGGAAATATTGTAGGCATTAGTTCGGGGAGCATTGATACAATCCTACATCAACATTTTGGAGTGAGGAAGCTTTGTTGTCGATGGATCCCTCATTTGCTCTCTGAAAGCGAAAAACAGACTCGTCTTGGCGCCATGAAATGCGTTTACGTTTTGAAACCGGGGCATCTAGGCGTGTTTCAGAAATGGTTACTCGTGACGAGACATGGATCTATCAATATGATCCGGAAAATAAAAGGCAATCATCGGTATAGACCCATACCGATGATTGCTTTTTATTTCAGAAGGGCAGTTACCGACAAAACTGCAAAGACCTCGCAACGTCAGCAAAAAAAAATGGTGGCTAGTTTTTTTTCGCAGAGCGGACATTTGTCGACGTCAATGCTGGGAAATTGTAGATCAGCCAACTCTGAATGGTAGACTACAGTTGCATTACCCAAACCTTTTCAAGCTGTGCGGGAGAGAAGACCAAAGACCGAGCCTCGGGGAATCATGCTGCATCACGATAACGTCTCTTCACATACCTCCCTTAGAACAAAAGCATTTATTGAGAAATCTGGTGTTGGAACTCTAAGTCACCCACCCTACAGCCCTGACTTAGTTCCTTGTGATTTCTTTTTGTTCCCAATAGTCAAACAAAAATAAAAGGCGAGTTTTTTTCAAGCGCCAAAGAAGCCGTGACTGCCTACGAAGAAGCGATTTCCGATCTGTCAGATCAAGACTGGCAAGTGTTTTCAGAGTTGGTTTAGGCGAATGGAACTTTGTATAGAGCATGATGGAGAATATTTTGAAAAGATGTAAAATAAATATTAATAGTATCTAGAATACTTTTTGTATATCTCAAAACGTATTGAGTGTCCTACATAATGATGTCTTATGACCGTAGGTTTTATCATTAAAAAAAGTAATATTTTGATGTATTATTATACAGTAAAAATGCAACGAGTTTATATTTTGAGAAATCTATCAAACATTAAAATGATTTTTGGTATATTTCTTAAAATTTGAGTCTATGCAGTAAAAAGCCTGAAGTGAATTTGGAGTGAAATTCATTGAATCATAAAATTCATTCATAATTTACAACCAGATACTTTAGTGTCAAAATATAAGTTAATTAATTTTAAGTTTTTCTAGCACTTAGAGAACTGCCGTAGCGAAGAATGTGTACGAAGGTTTTAATTTATAAACATTTTAAAATATAGCTGTAGTTCAAAACGAAATTGTTAATAAAACAGACAAAATATGCAAGCATATTTTTTTAAATTATCAAAATTGTACCCTAATTACAATATTATAAGTTTTACAAATAACACAGAGAAAACTAACACCAAATTTTAACAACTGCTGTGCACCTGCAATTATTCCAGTTCAAGGAATATACTACTCTCTACCAAGGGAAGCTTGACATTCTTTCTATGGGTTTTCAATTTGTTAAATGAGTAATATAATTAGTAATAAAGGCTTTGGAAAATATGGGGATAACAGATCTAAAACAGCATACCTTTATTCAATTTATAATAATCTAAAAAAAAAAAGTCTTAGACATTAAAACAAAATGTGTCATTTAAAATAATTTTATTGGAATGTCTCATTTACGAGATTCTTTAACAAAAAGTCGCATTCCATTTTATGTACTATCTTTAATATATGTACTTGTTAGTTAATAAAGTTCCTGAAAATATATGTAACTATTTCTTTTCACTCATCTATCATCTCATATGCGAGCATAACATACAAAAAGATTTCAGACTTTATATTATTTGTTTATAGTGTCGCCTCATGCAGAAAAATGTATCTTCTGCAAAATTTAACGTTTTTAATGGTTTATCATTTGCTTGTCCGCTTTTCTAAGAGCTGCAGCCATTTCAATTTGTTTAGCTCTAAGTCTGCCCCAGATCAGGTAATCTTGCAGGCCAATGATTTGTGCAGCCATTATGGCAGCACTATCGGGGTAGATGACTGTCGCGCAGCCGAGACCAGAAGGCACAGACAGAGATGACCAGATATCCTGAAAATTTAATATTAATTCTTTATATTATTCCACAATATACTCACAACTATTCCGGCAAAAATAAGGCATTATGTAAAATATCTTCTTCTAGTTATTGTCTATAGTAGTTTATTCTTTACGACGTTATTGTCTATGGTGGAGAATGTGATTAATCAGCACTCTTTTGAAAACATCTTATTGGTGGCATTGAACTTTTTTTAATTCTTTTTAGTTAAGGGGCTTGCGTTATTTTTACCATGTCAGTCGTTGTACCTTATAACTAAATAATACAAGATCATTTTATTAAATTACTTATACTATATACTAACTAACTGATTTGAGCAGCATTTGACATTAAAATTTGTTGCCTGCCATTTTTTTCACTTAAGTATTATTATTGGTACAAACCTGTACAAGTTTATCTGATGGTGGCGGACAGTTAATAACCGGGTAGGAAGTGTTGCCAGATAAAACTGGTCCAAGTCCGTTGGAGCGGCCAGCAACCGCAATGAAGACCAGGGCTCCGTGCGTGTCCTCGTACTGCTGCATGATGCGCAGAGTTTCCTCTGTCGCCTTGTGTGCAGATGTAACACGAAGGTCCACACTCAAACCCAGGTCTTTAGCCGCTGTTATCAAAATAACATTCATTTGTTATTATTTCATAATATTTGGAATTTTAACGTAACTGATACTTTGTTTATTCTTCAGTTAATTTTCTCATAAACTGAAGGCCATCTACTATCATTAAATATTTACCTTGAACATAAAAACCAAATCGAATTTCTTTAAAAGTATGTAGTATGTTGCAGCTTGATTATTTCACGGTTTAAGTGCCCAACCACTGAATTAAACAGCCGTTTAAGAAGGAAAAGTACCCTTATGATTGAACTCAAACTGAATCTAGAGCCATTGAGGCGTTTACATTTACGTCCTTTTTCTACCACAATGGCTTTACCAGCTGTACATTTTTGGGGTTCCGTACCCGAATGGTAACCAACGGAACCCTATTACTAAGCCTCCGCTGTCCGTCCGTCCGTCCGTCCGTCCGTCTGTCTGTCTGTCTGTCTGTCAGTGGGCTGTATCTCATGATCCGTAATAGGTAGACAGTTGAAATTTTCACGGAATATGTTATTCTATTGCCGCTATAAAAAAAAATTAAATAAAAAAAAATTTAAAGGGGCTCCGCTACTAGAAACCTGTTTTACGATGGACTAGCGTCGTGGCAATTATGGTAAGCATCTCTTCATGAGCAGCCACATAAAGAAACGACCCCAGTTGGGGGGATCTCTATGAGGCAATCTTTGGAGGAGACCTATGTTCAGCAGTGCACTTTAATACTAAAAAAAGAATAATCAAAATTGGTTTAAATTTGACAAAGATGTTGCGTAGCATTACAATAACAAAAAAACCGGCCAAGTGCGAGTCGGATTCTCGCAACGAGGGTTCGAACAAATCTGTAGGTATATAAGTTTAAAATTAGTAAAAATATTTTTATTATATGATGTAACCAAAAATTTATGCTTTTCGCAATTTTTCCTTTATCTGTGCTATAATACGTTGCTTCGTACCAAATTTTAAGATTCTGAGTTCACGGGAAGTACCCTGTAGGTTTTGATTCCCTTGCGAATGTCGAAAATTTGCGGCATAAACGGCAGTATCTTTTGATTGCGTTGGCTTAGAAGTTTGATTTTTTCACAGCTCCAAGGGACAGTAGCCTTGAGTATTTGATATGAATTTCAGCTTGATACCTCCACGCGTTCCTGAGAAAAAGGGTCTTGACAGACAGACAGACGGACAACAAAGTGATCCTAAAAGGGTTCCGTTTTTTCCTTTTGAGGTACGGAACCCTAAAAATAATAAAAACAATCGAATTGAGTACTCCCTCATTTTTCGAAGTCGGGTAAAACCGGGGTGTTTTATTCTCTAGCGACGCCACCTCACAGATTTACTCACCCTTGGCTATTTTGTTGCAGTGCTCCTTGTCTTGCGCCGAGCCCATAAACACCACGACTTTATGGTGAATTGTTGGTTTAAGGTGGTCCAACTGATCCTTCACCCATGTGAAATTACGCTTTACGGTGTCGAGGTCCGCGGCCGTCACGTTTTTCAAGTCTCTGTATACCTGTAAAAATAATATAAAAAAAATCTAAAATATGATATCATATAAAGCAAGCAAACTGCTGAAGAATACGTACTTAAGACTCGTGCCATTATTTAATCTGTGCTCGTGCCAACCTGATGCGTATGTATTTTAAACGTGATAAAGCCATATTTAAATAAAATAATACATCTGCATTTTCATTCTAACTTGAGTATAAATGTCTATGATCCACAACATCCACATAACATTCGTTGTACTCTTTATTAATTTTTCACCTTTATTCTATAAAAACAATTCTATTGTAGTCTGTGCGAGTGTGGATTTTCCTTGGTTACGCCGAACCGTTCGTTCTAGTCATATAATAAGCGTGGCTTTATCACGTAATGATTTCTTATATTTACGCGAACACTACACATTTAGATAAAACTAGTTTTTACGGATTTTATAGCGTACGTATGTTAAGGGGATGCTGCGGCATATACAAAAATCAATTGCTTTTTTTTATAGGATAGGGTGACAAGCGAGCACACAGTCCACCTGATGGTAAGTGGTTACTGTGACCCATAGACATCTACATCTACCCTCAATAAAGACTCAAAATGCAGATGCGTTGTCACCCGTGAGGACTTAGATGGAATGCCTCTTTTCCAGTAAAAAGGGTCTCCGGTTCTCTACACTCACCATACGAAACACAGCAGTGTTAAGCTGCTATTTTACGCTTGTATTCTGTGAGAGCGTGGTCCTTCCCCGGTCGAGCCGACCCATTCGTGCTACAACTATACTACTAATATAGCTGCAGCATGGCTCTACCACGTAAAATTGTCTCGCTGTCCATTAGTCTCGCAAAAGCTCGAAAATGGCTGGAAAGATTTTGAGAAAATTTTTGGTGTGTATTTGAGTGGATTCCTGGATGTTTTGGATTCACAATTGGACCTGGTACGTGGCGCTGTTCTCGAGATCTAGAAATCACACGCGCGAAGCCGGGGCGGATCGCTAGTATTTAATATGGATTAAGCCGTGTAGTGGTGGTGTAAGAACATCCGCTACCCCATATCGTCCCATGAGTGTCGTAAGACGTGACAGAGGGAAACTGAAATAGGAGACGGGCAGCAGAATCTACCTAATAATGCTTATTACAGAAAATAAAATAACTGCGGTTGCCAACCCGCCCGCCAAACATGGCAAATATGAGCAGCGACATACAGAAACCGCCCCCAATACGACTTCGCTATATCAGGCTATGGTGATGACAATGGTAACGGCGGGGCAGTGCTTAAAACCAGTGATATAAGCATTTAAATGACTTACACTAAGTATTACTTGCAATCTATATTGCATTGGCAACCATTGACAATTAACTTATTTTACCTGCTTATCGACCATAAGACGTTTATCTCCAGAAGGCCAAAGCCTCCACGAGTCGGAGTCAATCACGTCGGCTACCAGTATGTTGCCTGAAATTAACACGATTTTATAGTATTTACAAATATTTATTCTTCAACTTATTCTAGGATTCTAGGGTCAAAATTTAAAATAATTATTATCCTGTGTATAAATTTTGCGGCATCACTTAGATGCTATACAAAATATTCTGAATAGTTCTGAAGTTTTTAACTCCAAATGATGTAGCTTTCTTTGGAACGGGCTCCGATCAAGTTAGCAAATGTATGAAAACACTCCGCTTTGATGTAAATACGCCTCTACAGTGCCGTTAATCACATATGTATATATTATATTTAAGCTTGTATTTTAGGCAAATGTTAACTTAGGCTAGGATCAAGATCATGTGGTCGTCAACCTTCACGATATCGTTTTGTTGCATCGTGGCAAGAAGAAAAGTAAACGACGATAGACTATGACTATATATGAGAAAATATACAGAATAAAATACAACAACACTTTTTGCTAACTCGAATTATTATTCGAGTTAGCAAAAATTGTATATTATACAAGGGCTGCAAGAAATCTAAAGTTTTTAACGATCTATTGCTGTCCGCTGTATTTGAAGAAAGCCCAAGCTAGACAACGCGAGGCAAAGAGAGAACCATAGACATCTACATCTATCATTGAGTTATATGTACTACATACTAGAGAATAGCGGTGTGTCGTTATGTCTTTTCTAAATAACGTAACGTTATCGTTATGGTACAACGGATAACGTTATCATAACTATCTATATTCATAACTGTCTATTTTCCATGTAACCGCAACTTAACAATATACCGTCATAGAAAAGTTATCATCAAAATTATTTTCGTTGACTAAGTAAATACTAATTTAGTTGCTGAAATGAATTTTCCTTCGTACCTTTGATCTTTTGACATCTTTCTAGCAATTAAGGCATCTATTTTTCCTTATTTGTGTTGTGACTGCGGTACAGTACAGCTGATCGCATCACGGAGGTTGGATTACACATCGAAGCCTGGCTCAAAAAGTTGTCTTTTCAAGTTAGTGCTGACGCAAGGACACCCAAAGTGTTCACAGGTCTCGAAGATCTAGCAATCGTTTGCTGTTCTAACGAAACTTGTGTGTACGCTTCTATATATCGCTGCCGTAAATGTAACTTCAGATAACCTGAAGTCGTATGAAAACTAAATTCGTTTTGACAAATATTACAACGCGCTTTTTTTATCAGTTTTTTCGAAAAACTCCCACAAAACACAGTGTTTTGTCGCCACATTGTTTCTTTGTTATATTACAACCCAAAACGAAGCTATATCTATATTTACAATCACGAAATCAAATAAATATTTACAAAGGCCTTTTGTTCGTTTTTAGACTTCTTTTATGAACACTAATATCACTATGCGTGCTTTATGTTTCGAAATAAACTTGGAATTAGCAAATAAAGCAAAGTTTTTAAATAATAATATTATACCCAAAATTTTTATTGCACCTTGTTCGTCATAGATCTAATTAATATGAAAACTCAAGTTCAAAAGTTGAAGGACAGAAGGTCAATAATAATATTTCATCTTAACAAGGTCAAGGCTATTAATGCAGTTTAATCCTTACATTTTGGGGCACAAGTGTTATTTTTCAATATATGGCAAAAACCTGTATTTACTGTGTAGAATTTTATAATAAACAGCACGAGATTTAAAATTGCTTTATTAAAAAAGACACATTGACAATTTGAAATAGTTATACAAGTATCTATATGAAAAAGAATAATAATAAACTTATTTCTCGAATTTCGCTTCGCTCAACCTACACGTTTCAATATGAGCCCCGCTGCAGTTTCGTTCTTATCGTACACGACATAACATTTGTTTTGTACGGCAGCGAGTGCGTGATGTTTTAATATCACGAATCACGATTCCAAACCAAAGCAACGCAACGTTGCAGCGTTGCGGTTCAAAGGTACTCCGTGCGTTGCGGATCGTTATAAGAAATAGACAGTTATGAGCGTTATGTATAACTATCACGTTGCAGCGTTGCGGTTCAAAGGTACTGTATGCGTTGCGGATCGTTATAAGAAATAGACAGTTATGAGCGTTATGTATAACTATCTATACGTTATAAAGTAAATAGACGTTTTCATAACTGTCTATACGTTATAATGCTCATAGCTACTAGAGAAGCCATTCCAAACAAAAATTGTGGCTCTCTATGTCTTCACCTTGCTACATATTTATTTATCTATATCTATGGTCGGGAGTAGTAGTCGCGCATGCGCGAAGACTTTAATTTGATATGAAATAAGATATTAATATAAAATAAATATTAGAATTTAATATAAAATATCTTATTTTAATCTAAACAAACATATTTCTAAGTGAAATGTAATAATAATTATCTTATGGAATTCACAAATCTTCAATTTACGCAATATTTAGTTTGTACGGATTGCAGTACAGTAGAGTTGAACATAGTCAATGTTCGGAATACGAAATCTAGTGCGTAGTACATATATATCGATGACATCTATCCACAATTAAGAATAAAAATGCAGATGCGTTGTCACTTCTCACCCCTGAGGATTGATGGAATGCCTCGTTTCCAGTGAAAAAGGTATCTGGTTCTCTACACACCATACGAAACACAACAAAATTAAGCTGATATTTTACGCTTGTGGTATGATGTGATTAAGTTTCCCTGTTTCCTTCTCCGACACTGTACCGATTTCTTTTTCAAGAACTAAATAAGAATAATTGTGGCTAAGGAAGGATTTTTGTATGTTTCTTTATTTTTTATGTTTGTTTTTGTTTGCTAAATGTCTAATAACGACAGTGGAACGGGAATTTTAGTAATTTTAGAAAGGTACCTAGTTTTTAAAATAATTTTTATTTATGACAAAAAGCATAGGAAACAGGAACATGGCAGTGGTAGATATTAGGTTGTAACATAATATTGCGCTAGTGTCATTATCTAGGGAGTAAACATAGATAAATACGTTTGAATGTCACATTCACTTGTATTCATTATTTTGTTATCTATATGTTTATATTTATAACTACCTTAATAATAACTTTACTACTTATTTTTTATATGAAAAGAACTCGCAGACATCGCATCGATAAGTAGCCAACGCACTCACAGTAGCCCTTTAACACGATGACAAAATAAACAGAATGATGTACACTACCTTCAGCGTCCACACCAAACTCGATTTTCATGTCGATGAGTGCACAGTCTCTGAGTGCCCAGGCTTTCTCCAGAACTTCAAATACGAGAATGGAAACCCTCTTCATATAGTCCACTTCGTCTTGACCTGTCGAAATATAAATCATTTAAAAAATAGATTTCAGTTTAAAAATAAATGTAGATCTAGCTTTGTGCCTTTTAAAAATCTTGTTATGCATTTCATTTTAGCGGATGTTTTGGCACAGTGCCGTAAGTGTCGCAAAAGACCAGAAAAGGTCTTATGGGTTTTGTACAACGGCGGTATAACAATCGGGTTCACGCCAGACGTAAAATACCCACATCAGCGACGTTGAGTATGGCATCAAAGGTGCAAGACGTCTGGACATGTAATGGAATCCTCCTGGCAATCCTTCCTAACACGAAAGAGGCCCATGTGTCCGTATTTTACGGGCTGTTGAAGAATAATAATAATAATAAAAAGAAAAATATTGGGACAGTGGTTATGATGTTTTATATATATTTTTTTTATAGGATGACAAGCGAGCACACAGTCCACCTAATGGTAAGTGGTTGCTGTGGCCCATAGACATCTACATATATCCTCGTTTGCGAATCAAAATGTAGATGCATTGACAGCCGTGAGAAGTAAGAAGGAATGCCTCTTTTCCAGTAATAATGGTCTCCGGTTCTCAACACTCACCATACGAAACACAGCAGCATTAAGCTGATATTTTAACACTGGTATTCAGTGAGCTCGTGGTTCTTCCCCGGTCGAGCCGACCCACTCATGCCATAATTATACAATTAATACAGCTGCAGCGTGGCTCTATCATCGTAAATTATAGGTAAATGATATAAATATTACGGAATCAAGACAAATATTCTTAGTAAAGTTACCGTTACAGGCTATTAAAATCCACTGCTGAACATACGCCTCCTCCGTAGGTTGCCTCATAGGGGGAATATTTGCCAGAGTTGTCACGTTTGGCGAGCGGGTTGACAACTGCAGTTTTTATTTTTAGTCGTTATTAGGGAGACGCTGCTGAACATCTCCTCATTTGTATGCCCCGTCGCCTCTTACGGCACCCATGGGATGATATGGAGTAGTGGATTAAATTTCTGTTCTGTTCTGTTCATTAGCCCACAATTACAAGTGGACAGAGGGCGATTCCAATAGTGTAAGCATTGTTGTTGTGTTTGAGAACTATATATATTTTCTTTGACAAGGCAAGGTGATCGTCTGTCTAGATAGATAGATAGGAGAACATCATATTGGCTGTTCAAATTCAAATAGAATATATACAATAAAAATAAAAAGTTTTTAAACGTCAAGATAGTGCGTTTTACTATCTATGGATTCATCACCAGTCACCACCAGATGGGATTGAGTTGGAAAAAAGATATTAATATAGATATTAATAGAATAATAGAAGGTAAAATATAAAAACTTGTATTACCAACAACAACACCGTTGACTTTCAGTTTTGCAGCAATGAGCTGTTCCTCTGACCACTGAGGGTCATGGTTAGCGTCGTCCTTGAAGAAAGTCTCCAATTTGACAGGTGTGAATCTGTATCCCTCAGGCACTCCAGGGTTTCTCTTCAGGAATGAACCAGTCGCGAGGCGACGCGTCACCCATTCAATGGGTATCATGTCGCATTTCTTAGATAAAAATGAAGTTGGAGAGGCCATTTTGACAAATGCGGTTCTGATATCTAAAAAAGAAGAAAAATTAATATAAAAATAGCTGTTAGGCTGCCCACTTCGATGGACAATATTCAAAATTTATCAATAATTGTCTTATAAATACATCCTGTGTACTATTCAACGAAATAATCGACTTCTATGTCAATATTAGAATTATAGACTCCATTTCTGACTAAGCACCCTTTTGGGTTAGATATATTAAGGCTAGGTTTCACGCTTTTATCCATATCCGCCGTCTAGTAGCGGAGCTTGCACTGTAGTGTTCCGGTGTGAAAGAGTATAGTGTGCCAGTTTAATTAAAGGCTGTAAGACATTACATCTTAAACCTCAGAGGTTATAACGTATCTGTAGCCTTCTTTGTTCGAAAATGGCTGTAGGTGCCCATAGACTGCAATAGCTTAATACCGTCAGGCTGGCTTAAGTCCTTTGGTCACTTCAGTTTCATTAAAAAAATGCGTCTAGTCGTTCAAGCGTGAATAAATGAAACATAATGCTACATTCATTACTAGTATTGTAAATACGCGTTCATTTGTTTTTTTTTTCTACTACATTAATTAGTAGTATTGTAAATACGCGTTCATTTGTTTTTTTTTTCTAGTCTCTTCCATGGCTGTGTAACGGAGTAGAGTAACGACGTCATAATGCAATGTTAATACGGTTTTGATTCCTTTGCGTTTAATAACGTAGTGTCATCCTCAACCGCACGCAATGCATTTTGGTGATTGATGGACGAGGTGGTGGCAATAGAAAGTTAATCCAAATACCGCTAAGAATTAATTTGATAGACTAATGACGTGAAGCAACATTACCAATGACCCCTGTCATTGGTAATGTTGCTGAGATGAGACCCTTCTCAGCCACACAAAACAGTGGTGAGATCGTCTAGCGTGGTGAGTATAAAAATCTTTCACATATGAATGGCACTAAACGTAGTGATTATATTCTCTTTGGGCACTGTATTAATTTTTGTTAGAATTTCGAAAATGCCTACGTTCAGCTTCAGCAGATGATTTAAACAATTTCAAATCAATGATGTATGATAAAGATAGTATCGTATATAAGTATAAATAATATAATAGATACATCTCACATAGAAAATCTTTTTTTCTAAAATTAATGAACCGACGCCAAATTCCAAAAACGTTGTATATTCCTATTTATCCTGTGATTTAATATATATTATAATAATAATATATTTAGTAATATTAAGGTAGCCGGGCTAACTATGACATCGGGACGTGACCATGACCATGGTGCTTTACAGCACCCGAAACGTCGAGAATTAAAAAGTTAAATTAAACGCGATAGAATCAGTAAAAAATTGTTTTATCTAAACAACTACTATGGAGCTTAACACCCGTTCAGATCTTGACTCCCTTAACGGTGAAGCCTTCAACCCTGAACGCCGTTTGTGCCGAACTTGGGGGGCCGAAGTTCGGTACAAACGGCTTTTTATGTTTTGATGGGATTATTTATTTCGAAACGATGTCGCTTCCCTATTTTAATTTTAAATTAAAACCCTGTAAACCCTTCAAGACAATCGGCCTTTCAAAGAATTTATAAATTACTACGTTTATGGTAGATTCTCTTTTAGTTGACTAAGTATATAAAAAGAACTCTGTGCTAACATTCGCGCTCATGTGCGACATCTCATAAAAACTAAAGGTCTTTTTGTATATTTAACGTCCATACGTGCTTATGCTTAAAATATCTATGTTGAACTTGAATGACCAATAATTTGTCAACTAGTGACGTCAGATACTAAATCACTAGTACAAATCTTGTATAAATGCTAAGTAATCTCGCTTGTGGCAACGGTCTACGTTTTTATCGTCATTTAAAGAATATCGAAGTTTGGTAAAGGTTTTCGTGCATAAAACATGTATATTTTACTGCCTCGTCGGCGTGGCTAGTGGTCGTAAGAGCAACTGTTCCTTATTTCCGTGTTAAACCCCGGATCGAGCTAACATCAGTCAATATATTTTAAATATAATATTAAGAAATTCTCAGTGGCATTCCGGAGTCAGAAAGTTATTAGTGTTTCACCTCCGAGCCTTGGAAATACCATAAGGCTGTTGCTCCTGCGCCTGATCTTTCTCCGGTTGTCTCTGGTTTCTGATGATATTTGTGCTGTTAGCCCACGCGGCTCTTATAGCTTCATCGGTTCGGATTGACGACCCATCGGACTATGAGTGTAAGGGAAAAGAGAGTACTATCTAGTATATACCTAGTTATCTATGAGTTGTGCATGTGCTTGCGCAACACTTTTACACTATACTCCTGGCCTGTGCTACTCCCCGTTGAGACCAGAATTCCCTGTCACCGTGTCAACTATCAACATATAGACCGAACAACTAAAGATGCCTAAATCACACTATGAAAGTTTCCGAATGACTCTGAAATAAATTTGTGATTTGGCATCAAGACGGAAAAAGAAAACACCACACTGGTGAATAGTTGAAATTTGATGAAACTGGGTCAAAACGCTTTCATGGTTTACCGTGTAGTGGCACTGTATGAATATCCACTACCCCATATCAACACGTGGGTGTCGTAAGAGGCGACAGAGGGAAACAAATCAGGAGATGGGCAGCAGCGTCTTCCTAATAACGACTAAATATAAAAAGCCAACCCGGCTATAGATTGCCTCATAGGGGAATATTTGTCATGCGTTGGCAAATATCCCCCTATGAGGCAATCTATGGGGAAGGCCTTTATTCAGCAGTAGACTTTAATTGACTGTAACAGTAACGGGTCTAAACGTTAGCTCACAATAATTTTTATATTAACTGTCGATAAGCCGTAATCATCGCGTATTTTTTAAGAAAAGGTCACTTTAATTATTGTAATCAACATTCGAATATTGAGTATTGACGTATTATTATATGTCGATAGTTTATTTTCAGATCATGTCTTATTAACGTGGTGACCTTAAGATACATAATATATAAGCTGTAATGATTACACATTACTGATAAATTCTTATTTATCAGGTCAAGAGAGAATCAGTACATTGAAACTAACGTATGCAACACAAATAGAATATTGCCGACGACCGAACATAATTTTAAAGTAATGTAAAAGATTTATAATTAAAATTTTAGAATTATCTGGGCAAATGATGAAATATTGAGTAATTACGACATATGAATAATCAAGCTTACGTATACATGCGGTCCAGAACGTTTGGAATATCAAACACCTAACTGAGTCCGTCGTAACCTGAGTTATCAGTTAGTTTTTTCATAGATAACTAGATGAAAATGGCTAATACATTCAGCATAATGTTTTTGTTTAAGTTGCTACCCAAAAACACACACAGGTAGTCCGATTTATTTTGCTAAGCCGCTGCCCACTCCATATTAAATGGCAACTAAATTATACTAACAGCTGCTTACGATCTACGTTTAATAAACCAAGTAGTACATTTTTTAAGCTTAGTAAAGGAATTAGCCCGCAAAATTCCTCTAACCAGTCCCCGTGGTAGATAAGATAGCATACGCAAAGGGATTCAACATTTCTTGAGACATGCCGGTGAGTGATGCTGATCAGAAAGAACTCGTCGTCGATGATTCGGGCCGCTCTTCGCTGAATGCGGTCAAATGGGCTCTCACTGGGGTACCCCGACTCAGAGATGAAAACAGTTCTCCATGTGAAACCGAACTTATACCTTGTAAAGTTGCAAGCAGTGTGCGGGCATGAAATACAGCGCTTTACTGAATATGCCAAGTTTTTTAGAGCCAATTTGGCCTTCTCTTTCAAGTGACCGCGGAACTGAATGTTCTTCGATATTCAACGCCGAGGATTCCTATTCTGGGGGAGGCAACTAGGGAAGTGCCCTGAAATTGAAGAGATACGACACAACGTAAACGCCCAAACACACTGAGGGTTAAATCAGAGTATATTTAGCCGTCTTCAATTCGAGACGTTGCACAAAAGTTTGTTCGGCACTAGACGACGTATTCCCGAGATATATTAGCACGCCATCTGTTCTGTCTTCTATGTAAAAATGAATATTACTATTATGTAACATATCATTGACATATACAAGGAACAGGATAGGCGATAGCAAGCAGCCTTGTGCAATACCAGCATTCACAGGCTTCGACTCTGAGCATGCACCGTTAACTACGACCTTGATATTCCGATCTGCGAGAAAATAGGAACCCAATTGCATAATATCTCGGGAAGTCCATAAGAAGAAAGCTTCGAAAAAGTGTTTTGTGCCAAACCCAATCGAAGGCCTTCGCTATGTCCAAACTAACCGCCACGGTCTCCCCCTTGGACTCGACTGCTTGCGTGCATCGATGTGTTAGGTAAACAAGAAAATCACCAGCTGAGCGACCCTGACGGAAACCGTACTGGCGGTCCCCAATCAGCTGGAGTTTCTCAAGCTACCTCATGAGCTGACAGTTAATAATTGATTCCATTATTTTACAGAACAAGCCTGTAGTTGGACGGATCAAAGCGGTAACCTTAAAGACTTTTGGACAACGCCTGAAGAGTAGGAGTAAAAGTGAAAAGACTCGTTAAAACTGACGCTAACTCTGGAGCACACGTCCTCAGAACCATTGGAGGGATTCTGTCAGGCCCACTTGACTTGTGGATGACTAGGGAGAGAAGTGATTTACTTACTGCGCACGGTTTGAACCGGACATCATGGAGCACTCACATTGCGGGATATTCCGTTGTGTAATGATTTTATAGCGTAAGTTTTCTGGATTTTATGGGGTATATTAACTTATTTTATATTCCCGACGTTTCGAGCACTTTACAACAATCATCCATGCCGTAAAATGCTCGAAACGTCGGGAATATAAAATAAGTTAATATACGCTATAAAATCCATAAAACTTGTTGAATTATGATTCTTTTTGAAGGCACTAGTGTTTTCATTCCGGGACGCCGATGCATTAGCCCAGGCGCGGTAGCACTTCTGTTTACTGCGTGACGCAGTTTTACAATAGTGACCAAACCAAGGCTGAGTTCTGCATCCGATGGGCACTACAGATGATGAAATAAAATGTTCCAATCCCTGAAGTACGAGAAGTACTAGTAACATAATTAGCAACAACACTGAGACCATTCGACGAGAAGTAAATCCACTCTGTGGGTAGGATGCAAGAAAAGACTGCATCCCATCTCAATCCCCAGATCTAAAGTAAAACGGTGGCAACCTGCACAACGCGATTTAACAGTTGTATCAGACCATAAGCCAAGCCAAATAAACAGGTCTCCCCGCATGATCAATATAATGAGGTCCGTATATTCAATATTAATATAATATATTAACTTAGTTCCATATCTCATAAAAAGTATACACATATCATTGATATTAAATTTCATAGTCTTACCCGCGCCTTTGAGAATTTCAAAAACTTTGGCATTCGTTTGGTTGGAGATTGCCGCTTTTCCTTCCAGATCGTGAGCTTTGACGCCATCGCCGGCAGTGATTCGGTCTTTATTCAGCAAAAGACAATGGCCTGGAAGTTCCGGAAGGTCAAACACCTGTTTTGTTTTGCCTTCGATGATAAGTGACCCAAGTTTATAGCCGCCAACTGTAACAAAATAAATAAAAACGTAATTATATTTGGATCGGATCAATAAGCTAAAATGGCGATAGACCGCCCATACAGTTCAAAGAACCGACAACCGATGGGGAGAAAGGTTTTCGAGTGGAAGCCTTCCACTTGTTCCTGTATAAGTCCACTGCTGAATATAACCCTTCCACAACGAATGCCACAAAACACTGACCTAAGCCACCTGTATCCATCGACTTCCAGCGTATTTTACCTGGTTGTCACTGCATCTTGTGGTGGTCGCCCTAGACTCGGTCAACACACGGCTTATAGATACGAGGCTGCTACTCGAGAACTTTACTTCTCCATCGCTTGTCGGTTCTTAGATCTATAATATTATTAGCTGACAGTATTTGGAGTTGTCGCCGTGTTCGAAATCAGTCACGTAAACATCGTCATAAACAAGTAACAAAAAAATATTTTGGTGTTGTTTATGATTTACGCTTCTCGCTTCATTATTGTGAATATGTAAATAATATAGGCTGTAGCTTTAAATTGTAAACACTTTAGCGACAGATAAAAAAAAACATTGTATCCCCACAAAAAATGATTAGACTTAAATGACCTAGAATAAAATTTTACATAGTGATGTAAAATTTTATCTACGTACGTTACATAAAGTAAGTATAACGTATTTCTTTCTTGTGCTTTCTTTTTCAAACGGAGGTAGATTATGGATTCTACAAATCGTAAGTGGAACACAATATTTTCGGGATTAGTTAACCAATTAAGCTAATTTTTCTATTGAAAAAAAGAAAAAAGACATGCGTGAGTGTCGTGGAACATTCGGTTGGAACGAAGTTCCTTTCGTAGTATTTTTTTTTATAGTATAGGGTGACAAACGAGCACACAGTCCACCTGATGGTAAGTGGTTCCTGTGACCCATAGACATAAATCTTCATCTATCTTCAATAAAGAATCAAAATGCAGATGCGTTGTCACCCGTGAGGACTAAGATGGAAATGGAATGCCCCTTTTCGAGTAAAAAAGGTCTCCGGTTTTCTACACTCACCATACGAAACACAGCAGCGTTACGCTGCTATTTTACGCTGGCATTCTGTGAAAGCGTGGTCCTTCCCCGGTCGAGCCGACCCATTCGTGCTACAACTATACTTAACTTAAAAAAATCTAACTGTACTACCCAATATTAAAATCACCTAAAATGTTTGTTATAATATCAATTGTCAAAATAGCGTCGATATAGCGGTGCCCGGCGCCCTTTTGATTCTTCATTATTTGAATGACGATGAAGAACTATCGTATCAAAGAGCCATCTATGCAAATAAGGCTGTTGTTTTTGAGTTATAAGAAAGTGACCATATTAACCGGTTAACCATATTACCCTCACGCACGTTACTTATATCAAATAGAATGGCGACATGTGTATCTACTATACACATAGAGGTCAGAGGGAACTCATCTTGAAACTTGGTATATAATTCATTTCATTTACAAATGACAATCTCGCCTGCACACGGTGTACCTTGGTGGTATGTCAATTTGTAAAAACTTAACCCAAACGTATTTGAATTGTGAGAAGAATCACGACCGGAGAGAAGTTATCGGTTTTGCGCTCACCAACTCACCTGCTCAGCATGGTGGGCGTGGACAAATCTTTCAAGCTTTTGGCGCATTCTCGTAAGTGCTCTACATTAAGCAATGGAGTAAGAAAATCTGATAAAGAAAGCTGAATAAGTAATAATAAAGTATTATTAAAAACTCGACCATCGAGTGAAGTTTATTGATTTAAAATGTTTAGATATGCTTTGACTCACTTTTTTTTAAACGCTACCTTCACAAAAGGATTTTCTCCTGTATTGTAAGGGGAGTTTACATACATAAATTTTACAAGGACAAACATCCAGACCCGGAACAATTATTTGTAGGCCATACAAATACTTGTTCCGTGTGGGTTCGATACCGCGGCCCTTAGCGATACAATACACTCTGCGCCCTCTTTTCCCAAAAGAGGGTCGCTTCCGATTCAGCAGAAAGGCCTAATAAGCCAATGCCAGTCCCATGGGTGATGTTTAGTGGGTACACTTAGGGTTGTTAGGTAGTTAGTCACGTCAGTGAGTCCCACATAACCATCACAAAAAATACTATACAGTAATCTATGGTTGTAAGTTGTAACGCATTGCTAAGCCATTGCGCCACGGAGCCGTCGAATTAAAAATTAATCTTGATCTTGGCTTTGACTTTTTAATTATCTATGAAATGTATGTAATAAATTCTAGGTCTGGGTTATCGATTATCGTACTAAACGTTTTTTTTTTATTGGATCGGGTGACAAACGAACACACAGTCCACCTGATGGTAAGTGGTTACTGTGACCCATAGACATCCACATCTATCCTCAATAAAGACTCAAGATGCAGATGCGTTGTCACCCGTGAGGACTAAGTTGGAATGCCTCTTTGCCAGTAAAAAGGGTCTCCGGTTCTCTACACTCACCATACGAAACACAGCAGCATTAAGGTGCTATTTTACGCTGGTTTTCTGTGGGAGCGTGGTCTTTCCCCGGTCGAGCCGACCGATTCGTGCTACAACCACAATATAGCTGTAGCATGGTTCTACCACGTAAAAAAACGTAGTGGTTATATTCTCTTTGTATCGTACATTTTTAAATTGAGGAATACATCTTATAGAAATCTAAAAACGTAAAAAATATTATGCGTAAATCTTAAGAACAATACAATATATCGACATTCGTTCTGTCATATTTCAATCACCGAAAGCAAAAACACAGAAGATATTTAAAATGATGATACAATCAAACTGAGATAATATTGTAGAGAAACAGGGATAATCACAACACATCTAGACCGAAAACACAAATGATTGCTGCAGCAGTATCCGAACTTAGGACCCCTAACTAGAAATTTGACAACTACGCCACTAAGCTTTGCAGTCAACACAGAACAGTTGTAAGTTAATTTGCCATTGAAGTCGTTCTATAGCACAGAGTACTTTTTATGTAGTTCTATAGACAAGAAACAAAGGATAAAACTCATCCCGGCTTCATTTTCTAGTTAAATAATGTCTGACCAAGCACTGTTATTACGATACTTAGTAGAGTAAGGTCTTAATTTAATACTGGCAAAAACTACAATGAGCTTTCAAGGCCAAATATAAGCAAACACGGTGCGGAAATATTAGCATTGCGGCTAACCTATAAATCGCAATCCTACACAAGTATACGTAAAGAAGCGTATAACGAAACATGTTTTAGGCATCTTAACTTAGTCGAATAATAATGTTGCTTTTGCCTTTAAAATTTAAAATCTTACCTTCGTTAGGATGAGACATATTTGCGATATAAATTGGGAAGGACTGGCCAAGAAGCTAGTTTACAATAGTACAACAAATATATATCACTGCGAGGGCCTTTTATAAACTTTGGTTCGTTCAATATTCTTTGTTTACAACCACGTGCTCGGCACTACTCACTATATAGCCAGCATTGACAAGTTTTTGATAACGCATCCTAATAGGATTGAACAATGTTGATACATTAATAATATTAGCATCGTCAACTTTTAAAAACTTTGATGATATTCTAGAATCCATATTAAACCTATATAAACATTTCATACTATAAGTTATATTTGTTATATTATTATTTGTCAAATTTAATACAATTTAAAGTTTTGATAGATTTCTTATTATTTATTATTCACTGCTGGTCTCATGCATAGCTTTTAATGCATGCACCTTCAGTTTGCAGACAGATTTAGAGATAGTAGATCGTAGAAATGATGAAAATGATAGTTATTTTATACTCTATAATAACTCACCATGGCGGGCTGCAGAAGAGGGTTTGTGTATGCAGAGTGCAGAGTCGATATACTCGAACCCTCGATACCTAGACCATTGATAATGTTATACTTATAAATTTATTTAAAATATTTGGATTGTTTACCCCATGAGTTATCGCCAGCCTTGTCTGTCAACCAGCAAAGTTCACGGCAAAGGAGGGTATTATTTAGGGAATGAGTTTATATTATGGGATGTTTTTGTTTTTAAAGGTGTTAGTTCTTCGTGAATTATCGGTTGGATAAAATAATATAATAGGCCCTCCACGTTCCGATTCAGAATTATGAACGCAGCAAGTCCATATAAAGTCCAAATAAAAAAAAAGGACCCTTCACACACGTGCAGTACTTTTCCGTTCAAAATTTTGGGGGCAACACGGGATTCCGAATGTCACATGTTCGAATGTCCGAAGGTCACATACCCGTTTGGAATTTCGAAACGGAATCCCAAAACGGAATTCCGTATATATGTGGCCGGGGCCGACCCAAGAAAATAGAGCAGGTTTTATTATTACGCTGCTTGTATCACAGACACGGAATACCAGCGTAACCAAGCTAAAAAGATTCATTACAGAGTTGCATAATGTACATACGTATGTCTGTCCAGTTCTTAACTTTTCAAGTTTACGATATGATGGAACATCACAAAATGGGATGGAATATTAAAGCATATTTCGGAAGCTATAAAAATTTAATAGATAATTAATATTCAAGCATCAAAACTGATCAGTCGCGGTGTAGTTATTGCTATTTCGTTCGCTCAATGGGTGAACTCGATCTCACGCGCAGTCAACTTCAATTCAAATAATGTAATGTTACAGACTTTCAATTATTTCTTGATACTTGTCGCTTCAATACGCTACATCAATTAAAGTTGTGTAGTATTTTTGCAACCTAATACACTTTTCAGGCTATCATCACTTATACAGGTGAGTGAAAAGTTTCAATTAATAATGTTACAACTATTATGTCAGCTGTTGTAATTGATATTATTATTTCGGAATATAATTTGCGTAAACTATGTATGATTTTCGATTTATTTAACTCCAAGATAATAAACAATTGCTATGGTAACGTCGAATGACAGAACAATGTTTTGTCCCACATGGCAAGTTTTAAAAAATCGGCAAACTATTATTTACTCCAGTTTTAGTTTTATTTTTATTTTGATAACTAGAAAGTGTAAACTTATCTTCGTGTGATTTATGTGTATTGAAGGGTTTTAAATGTGTAAATCTCTTGAGATTTTAGGATGACATTCTTATTAATTAATATAAACTGTAGTTTATATTGTTACATATTATTTTATGTAACATGTAAACATAATTAGTATTCATTATTCTGTAATCTTAAAGTATAAACGATAAAATATAATGTATTTTCTGTTTTACTTATTTTTAAAGAATAATGGTGACAATCGAGTACACTGTTCACCTGATGGTAAGCGGATGCTGTAGCCCAAGGACACCTATGTCTGCCCTCGGTTAAGAATCTAAATGTAGAGGTGTTGTCACCCCTGAGGGGCTAAGATGAAAACTAATCGTAAAAAACAGCAGCATTAGTATGCTATTTTATGCTGGTAGTATGTGGGAGTGTGGTCCTTCTTTAGAGACCTTCTGCTGTAAAACCGATCCAATTCATACTGCAGCCATAATATGCCTTTACCTTGTATAATTATTTATAAAAATAACTGAATACAAACACTACTTAATACTTTCACTGCCAATTTGCAGACAATAGCAATGACCTATATGTAGTGCATGGGACAGCGAAAGGTTTAATATTGACGTTAATCTGTAGTTGTTATTTATGTAAATGTTTATTTGCTTTGCTGGTTTAAGTCTGATATGTAGTCTGAAATGTCTAATACAGAGCACAGCTAATTTTGCATCTCTATACAAAATTATTTAATAATTCACATTAAATATTTTTATACATGGCTTTCCAAGAATTTAGACTTTTTTTTTTATAGAATAAGGGTGACAAATGAGTTCAGCCCATCTAATGGCTAGTGGATGCTGTGGGCCGTTGATTTCTATCCTCAATCTATAATTAAAATGTATGAACATAACAATGTAAACAGGAGTAACAACAACTCCTGTGGACTAATAGGATGACTTGTTACCAGTATAAGGATCTCTGGTTCTCTACACTCACTATACGTAATGCACCAGCATTAAGCTGTTATTTTATGCTGGTATTCTGTGAGATTGTGGACCCCACATAGTTATAGGGGAGCTATTTATGCTGCAAACATAATATACCTACTTTCAATGTGACCACCATGTTATAGACTATTACTACTTAGGCATTTGTAATCACTCTTACCCTATATGAAATGATATCTATGTATTGGATTTGAATATATTATAATATTGAATCTATACATTTCAATATCTATATGTTGGTTGATATCGGTATGATTCTGTAACTCTGTAAGGAAGTCGGTATTCAGTACTACACAGTGATATGCGATTTTTATATATTTGTTTTGTTTAGATTTTTAGATATATTGTAATAATGTTCATACATATTGGTTAATATCTATGATACTCTGAAACAACAATGAAGAGTCACAATAGATATATCTGTTTTACTCAAATATAATATCTTGTATTCTTTTGTGTGCTTTACGTGGTAGAGCCATGTTGCAGCTATATTAATAGTATAGTTGTAGCATGAATGGTTCGGTTCGACAGGAGAAGGACCACGCTTTCACAGAATACCAGCGTAAAATAGCAGCTTAATAGTGCTGTGTTTCGTATGGTGAGTGTAGAGAACCGGAGACCCTTTTTACTGAAAAAGAGGCATTCTATCTTAGTTCTCACCGCTGACAACGCATCTGCATTTTAATTCGCAAATGAGGATAGATGTAGATGACTATGGGGCACAGCAACCACTTACCATCAGGTTTTTATCCAATTGTGTCTACAAATCTATTTATCGGTTTAATATCTTCCAGAAAGTCAGAGATACAAACTCTAGATTGAAAAGAAATCCAGATAGATGTGTTAAGCCTCATTCCGGGATCTGCTAAATTCAGAAAAAGTTGTTTTTTTTTATAAAATTAAGGTGACAAACGAGCACACAGTTCACCTGATGGTAAGTGGTTGCTGTGGCCTCTGACATCTGCATCTATCTTCGTTTGCAAATCAAAATGCAGATGCGTTGTCAGCGGTGAGAACTACGATAGAATGCCTCTTTTTCAGTAAAAAGGGTCTCCGGTTCTCTACACTCACCATATGAAACAGCAGTGTTAAGCTGCTATTTTATGGTGGTGTTCTGTGAGAGCGTGGTCCTCCCCCGGTCGAGCCGACCCATTCGTGCTGCGACTATACTACTAATATAGCAGTAGCATGGCTCTACCACGAATATAAGGTAAAAACTGTGGTAAATGTCCCTCTAACGAGTCAATCTATTAGGTGTATGTTCAGCAGTGGAATTTGATAAGCTGCAATGATTGAATGAATGAACAAAAATAGTTACATTGAAATGTTTTTAAGTAATTTTTTTTTTTACTTATTATAAGCCAGTGCATGACCACAATCCCACCTGGTGATGAGTGGCGATGAAGCCCTAGATGATAATTCGCACTGTTTTAGCATAACAAACGCCAAAAAGTACAACAAAATTTGTTATATTAATAATATTATACTGTTGAAATTTACCTACATTACCGTTAGTGAAAATTTTTAATCTACTTGTTTAGTGACTCATAGTGTTGTTTTTTTTTTATAAATTGAAGTGACAAATGAACTTGCAGTTCATCTGATGGTAAGTGAGTACTGCATTCCATGGACACCTGCATTCAACTACAAATAAAGAAAGCTACACATGCATTAATAGAATCAGGCGTTACTTTGCGGAAATCCATTATATAAAAGCTTTTAGAAAAATTTACTTCGCAAATATCCGCGTTATAAAATAAAATGATGTGTCTTACCTAGTATGAAGAGCACCTCCCGCCCTCCCTCAATTGCGTGCACTATCCCCGTCACCACTAATCCCAGCACCGCTACTCCCAACACCACTACACTAGGCAAGACACACCACTGACGATAATACGACACGTGTTTCGCCTCTACACGAGGCATCCTCAGGTGATATTGACTCTACGGTGGCTAACCGTTAAGTCAAGTCTTTAGCGGTTAGCCACTAGTGTCTTGCCTAGTGTAGTGGTGTTGGGAGTAGCGGTGTAGTTTTATACACATGCATTGTCACTCCTGAGGACTAAGATCGCATGTCTCGCAATCTGTTATTATACTATGTCAGAGCGTGCTATTTGGCGGCAAAAGTATGTAAGGTGGTTCGTACTCTGACATATTCCTATGCAGAATAGTAGTCCACTATCACTAATTGATTAACACTGGTCCTAAGCATTGAACATAGGAATATGAAATTTGGTAGTTATGTTCATAACAAAGCATTTACGTGGTAGACCCATGCTTCAGCTATATTAGTAGTATAGTTGTAGCACGAATGGGTCGGCTCGAC